AAAAAAAAAGCAAAAGTGACATGCTTCTTTTCCAGGCAGAAGCTTTAGTGGTTCACCATTTCCCCTTTTCCTATCTGTGGAAATGTGTGCAACCTCCATCAGCCTGGGTACCTGAGGGCCCCTGCCAACTAGGGATGCACATGTAACATGAGTAAAAAAAAAAACCCATTGATGTTTAAGCCACTGGGATTTTCAGGGTCATTGTTACTGCAGCAAAACCTAGACCTATCCTGACTGATGTAGTTGTTCTTTAGAATCTAAGACTCCTTTAAAAGTACCTATTTTATTTAAGCTTTTAATCTTGTATAGGCATACCTTGGAGATATTGTGGGTTCAGTCCCAGACCACTGCAATAAAGTAAATATTGTAATAAAGTGATTACACAAATTTTTGGATTCCCAGTGCATGTTAAAATTATGTTTGCACTATGCTGTAGTTTATTAAGTGTGCAACAGCACTACATCTAAAAAAGTAATGTACATACCTTAACTAAAAAAATACTTTATTGCTAAAAAATGCTAACTATTGGTGGGTGAGTATAGCTGAGTGGTAGAGCACATGCTTAGCATGTCCATTTTAAAAAAAATGCTAACCATCATCTGAGCCCTCAGTGAGTCATCTTAGTAACATTGGTCACTGATCACGGATCACTATAACAATGTAACAATAATGAAAAAGTGAAATATTGTGAGAATTACTAAAATGCAACACAGAGACACAAAGTGAGCAAATGCTGTTGGAAAAATGGCGTCCCTAGACTTCTCGATGCAGGGTGGCAACAAAACACTCAATTTGTAAAATACAATATCTGTGAGGTACAATAAAGCTAAGTACAATAAAAAGAGGTCTGCCTGTATTTGTGAAAACATCTCAAACTTCCATGTCGGCCACATTTTCCTAAGTGGTCTTCTAGACAATTCAGTTCTTATTTGTTTGTTTATAATTTGTATGGGTTTTTTTTTTTTATCTTGAGTTCAAAGGGGGGACAAACAGCTTGCTCACCTGAATCCAAGAGAGAAGAGCTTTCTTCTGTTTCTCCTCCAGGATGTCAGTGAGTTGAACGCATCTACCACTTAAAGGCATTTTTGTTGCAAGTAGATGAAAACTCCCCAATCTATGTTTAACCTGCAGTTTGGGGAACTGAGAGATACAGGGAGCCACAGGGACAAATCCCCGTCCAGCCCCTCCAATTGCTATTTTATTTGGTCTGTGTGTGCCTGGAGGTTTCCTGTCTCTGAGACTATGTCATCTTAATAACAGAATAGCCAGTTACTTCATCCCCA